GTGTGTGTGTGCGCTGAAACACACATAAACATGCTAACCATGGAGTCGGGAGGGGCAGAAGATGACATCCCAAACATGAAGGGCATGCAGTTAGTTAGACACTTCCCACTGCTGACCACCCATCCTGACACACACACACACACACACACACACACACACACACACAGCATCAGCATAGAAACCACCATCTGACTCAGTGAGATATATATTTATATGATAAACATGAATACATCATGGATGTCCTGCAGTAGATGGAGAGATGCGTGCAGACAAAGAGACAGAAAGACGGAGAGATAAAATCTAATACCTCGTAATGTTTGCTATGTGGACAACATGTGTTTGTGTACTCGCTTTCCCCGGCACAGGACATCGATATCTGTTCACGGGACGCGGCTGGGTTACCACAGCTGTGCGTGTGTCTTCGCTTGCGTTAACTGAGCCCTAGCCTACTTAAAACTGTCACGTGTCATTTATATTCTGTTGCTATGTGATGTTTGGCCGGGATGAGCCGCGAGCTGAGCGCGTGCTTCGCCCTCTCTCTTCTCTGTCGCCTGCAACAAATTGTTTTCAGCAGGTTTTCCTGAATATTTCAGATTCAGTGCGGTAGCTGATGGTAGGCTCTTTGCTAAGGTACGTGAAGGGAGCATCACTCTGACGGCGCTGTGCCAGCGGTTGGTTGATTATTTGTTTTATTGTGAAGGCGCTGGGGCAGAGCGGGAGGTTAACGCTGCGTCTGTGCTCGGGTCTCGTGTTTATTCCTCTGATTATCTTTCATAACACTGTCTGTTCTCTTTGTTCGTGTATTTGTGTTGATTTTACACGAAAACAGCAACAAATGCTCACGGCTCTTCTTCTGCCACGGCCATCGGAGTCACACAGCAGTGAACTCTGAGCCAACTCCTCCTGTGTTTGGCCGGGTCTGGTTCATTGAGCGACTTCTCAGCAGTTGGAAAAAAGGACGCTTCGTACTATAAACAAGCTCAGTCGTGGAGTTTTCCCCAGAACAAGTTTTTGAACCATCCAGCCACTGGCTGCGTCTGCCTGATGACTGACTGGTTAAGGATGCAACGTTACCAATGGCAACATCCGGCGGTTTCTTTGCTTCAGTCTGATTGTGCTCTCAAATTTCTTTCTCTTAAATGCATAAAATTCTCTTTTCCAGACGAGGTCCGTTAGATGCAGCTGACTACCCCATGCAGCCATGGTCAGGTCCCTACCCCGGGCCTCCACACGCCCAGCAGGGATACCCCCAGGCACCATCCTACCCCACCTCCCAGTCTGCCCCATCTTATCCCAACTACCCACCTGGTCAGCCATACCCACGGCAAGGAGACCCTCGAGGCATCGACCCTGGCTACTACCCCCACCCTAGGTAATTATACGCAGGAAAGTACCCTCATACCAGGATCTGCATGTGTACTGTGCGTACGCTATGATGCTGTTGTGCTGGTTTTGTGATTCCAGTGCAGCGTACCTGGACGAGGGGGCGGAGCTCTAGATTATGAGCTGTTGCCTGCTAAACTAAAACTAGAGCTCAGACTTCTCAGGCTGCCTGTTAGTCCAAATAGCCACAAAGAAAGCCAAATTATTTGACAGATAACCACATTAAAGACACCAACAGCCTTCAGTAGATGGCCGCTAGCTACAGCTGCCTCCGTCGGCATCCACCGGTCACTCAAAGCAGCTACGCCCTTAAACTTAAGCCTTAATACGTTTAAACAAAACATCACCTGCACACCTGTCAGGGAAATTAGCCAGAGAGGCCCAAACCTTTATTAGTGTGACTGACGTCCGTGCACAGCCTCAAGTGGCCGATCGCGGGAACTGCAGTTTTGGGGTTCAGCACCGATCATATTGCAGATTTGATCATCGTTCATATCATCTTCGTCTCTCTTTTTAAGTATGTCTTCCCTCTCGTCTGACTCTTTCTTCTTTTCCATGTCGGAGTATTTTGCTGTTCTTTGATCCAAGGTTGTTCTCTAGCTCTCAGCAGAGAGGGCCCCTGCGGCAGGATGTGCCCCCATCTCCCACCCCGCCTCTTCGGGGACTGCGGTACGACACGATGACACGTGGAACTGGGGGTGGGGGTTACAGGTAGGGCCGATTTGTGGGTGGAGACCATTCCAGGTAAATGCTGAGCTCTAAAATGCTTCTTCCTGCATAAATAATGAATAAAATTCTGCCGCTGTACTCGAGTAATCCGGCACAGCCCTCTGTAACTTTAAGAATATGTTTGATTGGATACAGGCACCGGTGGGAGCTCGGTACAGACCAGCGTGGCTTTACTCGGGACGGAGGAGGACAGCAACAGCAAACAAACCCAAAGCAGAAGACGGCGTGACTGCAGCTGTGCAGACACATCGAGTCCTGACATGACAATAAGCACAAAGTCACGTCTTCATAGACGCAGTTTTCCTGCGTTCAGCTCTCCACTGAAGTTAAAACCTCATAATGCGATGATCCGAATCCCCGACATTATCAAACCGTGTGTGTGCTGGTAGGAGTGTACGGTAAGGTAAAGGAGGTTAATTACAGAGTAGAGGATGCGTAATGTCTTGTTTGTTTGAAGTCATTTAAATTGCTTTGAATCTTCGGAGAGTTTAAAATGAGCAGGTTTTTACTTTTCACTGTACTCTGATTAAGTTGTCTCTTGTAAGAATCTGTCAGGGCTGCAGAGGTAATTGGATCCATTTAAATTAAGCTGACATTCACAGCCGCTGCTGCAGCAGGATAAAGGACAATATCCACAAATGCAAGCTAAAGTAACGCACTAACACTGACTGTAGATGGAGGTTCATGCAGATATGAATAACTCTTTATTATGTTTGTGTAATGAAAGCGTATTTATTCTCGAGATCCGACCGTTCACGTGGGCAAAGATGGGACTGCAGCGCCTCCGCTTTTCCAAAACATTCCTCCTTTCCTCTCTTAGTAATGGCTGCACATTACAGCGCTCCAATCAGCACTCTGGAACGCTTTATTCCTCCAGATAAACAAAAACACTCGTTTAGAGGCCGGCCGATGTCTGAAGTGACCAATCAGGGATCATGCCACTAATACCAGCAGATTTCATCCTCATGAGTAATCTGATCATATCCTGTGTTATCAAAAAGAGTTATTGATACGTGTGAATCACACTGAGCAGCACTATACGAATGATCTGTCCTCGCTGTTCGGTGCAGGACGAGGCGGAGCCCACGTCTGCTCCGTGGTTCGCTCCACGTTTGTTTGACCCTGTTGCTGCGTTTCGAAGCAGCTTAAGAAGTACGAAATATCTCATTTTAGCAGAACTGTAAATTATCTATGGATGGTCGCTTTATTTAAAAAGACCTCCACGTGAATGTATGATGAGCTTACGTTTTACAGACACGTCCACCTGTGTGGAGTGATTTGATTTTCCGACTTCCTGCAAGAAGCTCCGGAAAAGGCAGGACGACAATAACACAGTCGGGGTAATCGAGGTAACCAGGTGTTCCACAGGTGGAGCTGTTTTCATTCTGCCTTCTTTTAAAGCGTCTCTGATGTGTTGGAGCTGTTTGAGCTGCTTTTCCAGCCCGCCGAGTAAACCGGACAGAGAGGATTTTCTTTTTTAGGCAGCTTTTTGCAGAGCGGGGATAGAGGTCGCTTTCACTGTTACTCTGCACCGTGCGCTCTGCTTTGGATTTGAAGGACGGTTCAGTGACCCGACGGTGTAGGCATCACTGCTCGAACATGAAGTGAGCTTCAGAGTGCTGTCAGCGCCGCACCATAATGCAGATCCATTTTGCCACTTAGCAAAAGTTAAGTGTGACTAAGAGTTAAAGCCTTGCATAACATCTGTGTTTCACACCACAAAGCTCAGCAGTATTACTTTCAATGGAGATTAAATGTCTAAAATGACACCTCGGTATCGGGCGGACTGCGGTTCTCTCAGTGTGGCCGAGGCTGAAGGTCCGCCAACCTGAATGTTGAGATTAATGCAAAAGAATGTAACATGTAGATTTTATCAGAAAGGCTTTTGTGTTGGAAGAGTTGGATAAAGGGAGGTTAAGGAAAGGTAGAGAAAGATGTGAGAACAGGTAGAAAAGAAAAAGAGGGAAATAAAGAGAGAAATGTCAGGGATGTGTAATATTTCAGAATAAATATGAAAAGGAAACGGTTGAAGAAATGGTCCGAGAGGTAAATGCAGTGCAATTTGTGCAGCATTAGTTGTGCTGTAGGAGTGAATGTAGTGACTTTGTGAAGTTTTCATAATTATTTCTCCTTTCGTGTTGTCACGTTTCACCAGTGTGAAAACCAGACTTGCAAATCAAGTAATAAAGCACATTTTCAGAGACTGATGAACAAATCACCTGCCGGGTTTAGAGCAGAAACACTGAAACAACTCGCGTCCCCTCGGATCGCTTTCTCCTCGCTGATGATGATGATGATGTTACAGAGTGAGCAGCACCTGAGAAAATGATCCTTCTGAGAACATGTGAAGGATTTTCATGGCAAACATGTCAGGAGTCTCCCCGCTGTGTGTACCTGGATGCTGGGTCAGCGCCTGGAGAAGCTTTTAAACAGTATTTGAAAAACGTGACGCGTTGCATGAAGGCGTATCTGTTTCATTACACAGTTTTCACGTATGTAACTCTTCACAAGCATTTATTTTTACGTTTCTTTTTTTAATGCTAGTTGATGATGTTGAATCGGACCAGAGCCACGGGATGTTTGGCTTTCGTTGCCACGGGTACGCTGCAGAGCTTCCATCGCTTTTTTCCTCCTCGTGTCGTTTAAACTGCACGAGCAGTTTTAAACTCTGCGCAGCGTGGCTGACGCGTCGAGCATCCTGCAGGGCTCTTTGGTCTTTAGCAAGTTGCACAAGTTGAAGGTACTCGCTAGAATCTTCTGTACGAAGGGTTTCTGCTACTCCTGCTTCTCCTTTTAAAGAGATGTAGAAGGAACCAACTAATAACCTCTGTTACCTAGAAGTATAACATGCTTTATCATAACGCTCGAATATACGAAAAAGTCAAATTTCATTTTATAATGTAACAATTCTGTCATTGTTTTCCAACTTTTTTATATTTTGTATATAACTTTTTGCATTAAAGTGTTAATTTTTAAACACATCTGGTCAACGACGTCATACTTTACTTCTCTTTAAGACTCAATGCATGCCGAGCACATCTGCTGAGGTTAATTAAATATGAGTCAGGAGAAATTATTTCCCTCGTGTCCCCCGTACCCTGCAAGGTGAATCATTAACATTGCCAACCCAATTTAGTCCATCGTTTAAGCAGCTGATAAATTGTACTTTTGTGATAAGAGATAGATGGCCACAAATTAATGTAAGACTAATTATCAATTAGAAAAGGGAGATAAGGAGCGCTGATTACTGTGCAAAGTTTTCCTAGTTTTTCTGGCGTGTTGCCGGCGCGCTGCTAGGTCACTTCCCTCGGCTTAATAAGTATTTAGTGGCCGTGGGTAGCGTAAGGGGGTTTCTTATTTGTCAGACACTATAGGTGCTGGACTGTGGCTCAGAGAAGTTGGCAGTAATGAGACACAGAGGCCAAGGAAGCGTTTTATCAGGCAGGGCGTAATTAGAATATCCCAGACCTGTTGGCCAATGGGGAGAGAGCGAAGGGAAGTAATTAAATTCTCTTGAGTCACTGCCAAGGTTCAGTATGGATCTGCAGAGTGTGTGTGTGTGTGTGTGTGTGTGTGTGTGCAGGTGCTGGTGTTTTGTTTTCATGCATGTTAGAACTCGGATTAGTTTACCAGATTAATTGCAGTGCACCTCTGGACTCTCGTCAGCGCCCGGATCAAACGTGTCGCTGAAGTTAAGCAAAAGTGAGTCAGCGTTACACCGCGGTGACGGATACACCCACAGGACGGTCTCTTCCGTGGGATCGTTCCCTCTATTTTGACTCGCATCAGTCTGATGTTTGAAGATGTCAAATAAAATGTAACAAGCCTGTTCTGAGGACGTGAGGAGTAGAAAGCTCAGATATTTGTGTGAAGATGGAAAAACTGTCAGAAAGATTTAACACCTGAAAATTCTGCTCAGGTACAGTAATTTGTTCTTTGTTGTTTCCCACCTCCAAGCAACAAAATCAACGGCGTCCTGGTGACGATGATCCGGCTGAGCAGGTCATTGGACAGCTGAGCAGCTGGAAATTAGTACAAGACCAAAGTTTCAGTTTCTAACAGAACTGATCGTCTGAGTCAGCTTAAATATGTAAAATGCAGGAGGAGCTGGTGTACTCGGTACATCAGAAGTGTATGATGTATGGGTGGAAGCAGAGTCTGACTCAGCAGTGCTTCCTAATCCAGCGCAGATGTGTAGTTAAACTTCTTTACACTCACAGAAAGAGTGAGTTTCATTGATCCAGCCCACTAAAGTTCAGAGTGGGCTGAGTCTGGCATACGTGCCGACTCCTGGTGTGTCGATTATCAGAGCTAGTTACGTGTGACTGATGTGAAAGATATGAGTTAGTTTTGCACAAAAATAGCTGTTAGAAATGTTCAAAGAGCTACTTTATACTTTAAGTACATTTCACAGCGTGTACTTTTACACTTTTACTTGAGTAAAGAAGTTGAAGGAGTACTTCAGCTTTTACCAGATGGGTGAGTACAACAGCTGAATATGTCAGCAGAAGCATCAGTACTCCTGCTTCAGTGAAGTACCGCCGCCTCTCTTTAAGCACTAATAATGATGTTTTTTATTAATTTAGCTGGAAAAACTGGACATGAATCAAACCCACATTCAGGAAAGTGCAGTACTGAACCAGGACCAACAGACTGACCGCAGTAACCTGGTCTGCAGTGAACAGCGATGTGTGAGACTTTACAAAGCAATGTGTTAGAGCAGAGGTCCCCAACCCCCGGGCCACGGACCGGTACTGGTCCGTGAGTCGTTTGGTACCGGACCGGGTGTGAAATTTATGGTTTTCATCATTTTTATCATTATTTTTTTTATGGTTTTTATCGTTAACGCTGTTTCCCTGGGTCTTTTCCCGTGTGTTAGGAATAAATCTTCCTTTTTTTTGGTACCGGTACTGGTTTTATTCAATTAAATTCAATTTTATTTATATAGCGCCAAATCACAACAACAGTCGCCTCAAGCTGCTTTATATTGTACAATAATACATACAGAGAAAACCCAACAATCATATGACC